AGTCTTCGTGTCAGTCACTGCTCAATCAGGTGACTGTGGTCACATGTGGCTGTGGTCCAGGGAGTCCATGGCAACCCCAGGAAGATGTGCGCAGGGGGTGGTGTGTGTGTGTGTGTGTGTGTGTGTGTGTGTGTGTGTGTGTGTGTGTGTGTGTGTGTGTGCAGTTGCGGTTGGTGCTCTGAGGAGAACTCTGCCACAGGAGGCAGAGTTCTTCCTAACACGTACATCTGCTCATGACACATGCATCCAGAAAGGCCCTTGGAGAGTCTGCACTTCAGCTTTTGGGGCATGGTCCCCACTCTTGACTTTCTTTTACATGAAAACAATTTAAATTTGCTTATAATTTAACAAAACAGATGACAAACTCTCAGAAGTCACAGGGGTTGACCTCTTTGTAGGGCTGGATACAAAGTGGAAACATCCAAATCCCACTTGCAGACACAACCTGGAATGAACCTAACCAGGAACAGGAAAGACCCCTGTGGAGAGACTGCTGACCTGCGTAGTGATCACGAGGGTCTGGCTACACTACATCAGGAGGCTGGCTGCTGTCTTTGTAGGAAAATTGATCAAGTTGTTTCTCATAGCCCACAAGGTATCTCCAAACAAATACATGCCTTGTTTTTAGCATATAGGGGATGTGGAAAAGGGCCAGCACCTCTCCCTGTCCAGCAAGGAAACCTGGCTGCATTAAGCAACCAGACTAGGGCTGTCCCTCTTCACAGAGTAATTGCACTAGGGGCAGCAAGTACAGGTAACGTTCAGCATCCATGGGACGCTGGTTCCCAGCCCCCTGGCCCTTAGGTACCACAGTCCTCGGTCCTCCCGTCCCTTCCATCAAATGGCATAGTATTTGCATATAACCTACACACACCTTCCCGTTAATTTAAATCATCTCCAATTGACTTACAATACTCAACACACATACATAAAAATAGTTGTCATATTATAGTATTTGGGTGATGACAGGACAAAACATTAACTGTACCTGATCAGTACAGACACATACCCTGCCCAGAGACTTCCAATCCTCAGTTGGTTGAGTCTCCCGATGTGGAATCTACAGACAGACAGAAGGAAACTGAGCTAAGCATAGGTCTGAAAGAGCAGGACATCCAGCTGGGCACCATGACTGGTACCAGAATGGCCCCATCAGAGTGAAGCACAACTCTTGAGCCCTGGCTCTGAACAGAGATGCCCATGGCCCTGCTGATTCCCGGCAGCCATCTTGTGACATCAAAGGAAGACAGTCTAAAGTCCGTGTTGCCACAGGAAGGACCAGGGAGCAGAACATGACCCTGAAATAAAAGTGCTAGCTTAAATTATTATCAAGGCGAGCACTCTATCACTTGAGCTACAGCACCACTTCTGGTTTTCTGGTGATTTACTGGAAATGAGTCACATGGACTTTCCTGCCCAGGCTGGCTTTTTTTTTTTTTTTAAATTTTTATTGTGAAAATACTGTACAGAGGGGTTACAATTAGATGGGCAAGATAATGAGTACATTTCTTATCAAGCATTGTAGCCTCCTCCTTTGTTTCCCCTTCCCATCCCTTCCCAGCCGCGCCCCCCCCCCCCCCAATCCTTCCCCTCCCACCAAAGTTGTAAAGTTCGTTTTCAACATGACAACTTGTACTTCTCATTTTTGCCACGGGTCCACCTGTATCCTTATTTAAATGACTTGTTTTTCCCCTTCCCCTCCACAAATTATACCGACATCAAATACAGTGAAAGCAGGGGTTATACTGTGGGGGAGGGACATATAAAGCAACAAAGAAATAATCTTCTAAATGCGTTAGAAACAAATGCATGAAAGAAAAAAAAAACATTTGAATACATATCTTAGGGTTCATTTCCCTAACATCACCTTATCTGACCCTTTCTGCTTGACATACATATACTAGATATTGCAAATAAGGGAAACCATGGGACCTATGTTTCTTTGGGCTTGGCTTACTTCATGTAATATAATTTTTTCCAAGTCTTTCCATTTCCTAACAAATGGGGCAATGTCATTCTTTCTGATGGAGGCATAGAATTCCATTGTGTATATATGCCACATTTTCTTTTTTTTTTGGTCCGGTCGTGGGGTCTGAACTCTGGGCCTGGGCGCTGTCCCTCAGCTCTTCAGCTCAAGGCTAGCACTCTACCACTTGAGCCACAGTGCCACTTCTGGCTTTTTTCTTTTTGCTTATGTGGTGCTGAGGAATCGAACCCAAGGCCTCTGGCATGCAAGGCAAGCGTTCTACCACTGAGCCACCTTCCCAGCCCCAATATACCACATTTTCTTGATCCATTCATCTACTGAGGGGCATCGGGTTGGTTCCATATCTTAGCTATAGTAAATAATGTTGCAATAAACATAGTTGTGCTGGTAGCTTTAGTGTGGTCTTGTTTGTAAACAGTTGGGTAAATGCCCAAAAGTGGGATTGCTGGGTCATAGGGGAGCTCTATGTGGAGTCTTTTGAGGAACCTCCATACTACTTTCCAAAGTTGTTGAACAAGTTTACACTCCCACCAACAATGAAGTAAGGTTCCCTTCTGTCCACATCCCCTCCAGCATCTGTTGTTATTAGAGTTCTTTTTTTGCCATTCTAACTGTGGTGAGGTGGTATCTTAATGTTGTTTTGATTTGCATTTCTTTTATGGCTAGGGAGGTTGAGCATTTCTTCATGTGTCTATTGGCCATCTTTCTTTCTTCTTCAGAGAAGTTTCTCTTTAAATCTTTAGCCCATTTATTTATTGGGCAGTTGTTTCTTTGAAGATTTGTTGTTGGAAGATTTAATTTTTTGAGTTCCAAGTATATTTTAGATATGAGACCCTTGTCCGTTGTATGGCTAGTGAAGATCTTCTCCCAATCCGTGGGCTTTCTATTGATCTTGCTAGCTATGTCCTTTGCCAGGCTGGCTTTGAACTGCAATCCTCAGATCTCAGCCTCCTGAATAGCTAGAATTACAGGCGTGAGCCACCGGCGCCTGGCTAGCTTAAATTATTGTGTCCCCCTCCCCCTTTTTTCCCCAGACACAGTACACACGTTATCCAATTAAAAATGTTTTAAATGACTAACAGGTAAGTAAAACAGACTCTATTGGAGGAGTACCAGCAAGAGGGTGTCGGGTTAGTAAAAAGGGTGAGTGAAGACAAACATGGTTGAAAACTTTTTTTTTTTTTTTGGGGTCCGGTCGTGGGGCCTGAACTCTGGGCCTGGGCGCTGTACCTCAGCTCTTCAGCTCAAGGCTAGCGCTCTACCACTTGAGCCACAGCGCCACTTCTGGCTTTTTTCTTTATGCTTATGTGGTGCTGAGGAATCAAACCCAGGGCCTCGAGCATGCAAGGCAAGCGCTCTACCACTGAGCCACCTTGCCAGCCCCATGGTTGAAAACTTTTATGAAAACAGAACAGTGAAACCTGTTCTAATTGTTTAAAGAGGGAGGGTAAGGCTGGGTGCTGGTGGCTTATGGTTGTAATCTTAGCTACTTGGAGGCTGAGATCTAAGGACCAAGGTTCAAAGGTAGCCAAAGAAAATCCGTGAGACTCTTTTCTCCAAATAACCAGCAAAAAGCTGGAAATGGAGGTTTGGCCCAAGTGGTTCCAGCCTTGAGTGAAAAAGCAGAAGAACTGCACCCATGCCTGAGGTCAAGCCCAAGTACTTTCAGGGGAGAAAAAGGAAGGTAAAGGAGGGTGATAGGGGGTACAGGCAGTGTACATCCGTGTGGAAATGTCACAACCATCCCTGGTAAAATTAGTACAGGCTAATAAAATATAAAGAAAAATGTATCTGATGAACAAGTTGACATTTCAGGCCATGGAATCTACTGAGTTTACCCTACATGCCCCTGCCTTTGGTGCTGCGGGGGCTCCTGGAGCTGCTCTCCGGTGCTCAGTCCTCCCTCGCTGGGTGGCAGCCACTAGATTTGGCCAGCTCCCAAGGAGGATCTGCAGGAGGAAAAGTCTCCAGATGACTTGGAGGGCTGGGCTCTACCCATCTTGCTGACAACTCACAGAGGTACAGTAAATGAGACCAGCAGAGTCAGGAGGAACTGTCCTGAACAGCCAGGCTTTGTCCTTCACCCTTCTAGAACAGACATCCTGCAGTGCCTCAGCCCAGCAAATCATGTGACATCTGGGTTCTGGAATCCAGAGCGGAAAGCTTGGTCCTTCAGCTGCAGTGCAAAATGGGTCCCGTGTAGATGGGTCTGCCCGGGGCAGCTTTCCCGAGCTTGCCACAGGTCCTGGGCTTCCGTGCTTTCTACTGCTTCTGTAATCTTGCTCTGTCTGATTCTGCCTCAGTGGACTAGATCTAGAAATGAAAATGCTGAGGGACTGACTGCTGTGGGGTGTGGACAGCCTCCTGCCCTACTGCCAAACCTTAACAGAAACCGGCAAGGTGTGGGAAAGTAATCAATGCATGGTAGTTCTTCTGAACAGAGTCCTCATTGACCCAAGTGGGAAATTTTCTTAGCCCAGGGACTGGCTCAGAGGTAGGCACAAGAGCCCAGTGGCTCAACAGAGGCTTTCTTGTGAGCTGCCTGGGGACGGGTCCGAGGCCTAGAAGGAGAGGCAGGAAGAGCTGGCCCAGTGGGTCACCATCCAGTGCCTTCTTGGTCCTTCTCCAAGCTCTGGGCCACCTCCAATGAATTCCCACTAGAGTGTAAGCGAATCTGAGTTGGATATATTCTTGCAGCAACACCCCCACTTTTGTAAGACTTAGTGCTAGCAAGTGAGGTGTTGTCAAAGAATGGGTCTAAAGTGTAGAAATGGCCGTGCTGAGTTGGGGAGGGAAGCAGTGAGGGGGAGGCGGGGACCTACGCTATGACATGAATTATTGTGGGAGGGTGAATTGGGGGAGGGTGAATTGGTGTCCCCTTACACCCATGTATGTGACCTTCAAACAGAAGGGCCTTTGCAACAGTGACTAAGCACCTGAATTGTCCTGGGGCTGATGTAAATAAGCACAGGGTCCTTTTAAGAGGGATGTTTAATATTTTTGACAGGGAATCTATCATAGTGACAGCTTCATGGGCTTTCAAGATAAATGAAGGGCCACAGGCTAAGGAACGCAGGTGGCTCCCAGAAGCTGAAAAAGAAGCAGACTGTTCCTTATACCTCAGCACACCTTGACTTTGGCCCTGTGAGGCCGATGTTGGGCTCTGACTGGAGCTGGAAGAGAACAAAGGTGTGTTGTTTTCAACCAGTCTGCAGTGATTTGCTAGCAGCAACCATAGGCACAGAAGGGTGTGGGGGTGACCAGGCCTTTGGAGGACATCTGGAACGGAAACTTTGCCGAGAGTAGAGAAGGTGTAAAACACAGCTGTGCCAAGGGGCTCCTTTCCACCCTCCCTGGCGCTTAGCAGGGGCAAGTAATCACATAAACAGGTGAAAAGAAAGGCTCTCAGACCACTCTCAGGACCCCTGTGTGCCAACCCCTCCCCCCAATACTTAAGCTTTGAGGATTGAACTCAGATCTGTGGGAGGCTAGCTTGGAGGACTGGATGTGACAAAGCTCTGTGGAGCTTTGGGACCGGGAACCCTACTCCACCCTGATGCCTGGCTTGTGCAGAAGTGAGGATGGAGAGTAGAGGAGACAAGGAAGACAGTGTGGACACAAAGGTCCTCTATGACATGCTTAGGAGCAGGACTGTACCCTCAAGGTGACAGGAATCCCGGAACAGTCTCGGACTAGTGAAGCAGAATATCACATCAAGATGAAAGTCAAAGCTGGGCATGGTGTTGCATACCTGGAGGTCTAGCTATTCAGGAGGTGGAGGCAGGAAGATCTAGGGTTTGAGGCCAGCCACAGCAAAAAGTACTGAGACGGTATCTGAAAAACAAAACACAAAACAAAAAAACAGCTGGGGACAGGGCTCAAGTAGTAGAGAGCCTGAATGGCATGCTCAAGACTCTGGGTTCAATTCCCCTTATGGGATAGGGCAGAGGCTGGAGGACAGTGAGGAAGAAGTAGGAGAGAGCTGGGAGGCTCTGCTTTCTGAATTCTGGTCTTGGAGCTCTCCTGCACTCCGGCTTCTCCTATAGGTCACAGGACTCTTCCTTCCCCAAACTGATCCCACCCTTTTCTCCTCTTTTCTCCTGAGCTGAATTGCTTTAACAGCCCTTTCCAGGTTTGAGAGGGGAGGTTCTGATTGGTCCAAACCATCATGGTAGCCTGTTCTCCATAGGGACAGGTTTATTCTTTGGTTTATACTTTGCCTTACTTCTGGCCAATAAGGAAGCTGGCTGGAAACAGGAACCTTCTGGATGAAACAGAGCCTCTGGTGGAACAGGGTTTTTTCTTTTGAGCTTTTCTGTCCCTTCATGGTTGGGACACTGGTGTGAGAGTCAGTGACCAGAAGCCAGTCACTTTGATATGGATGATGTCTGTCTTGTCTGAGAATGGATGTAGGGGGGCGGTCTTGCAGGAGCCTGAGAACAAGGCCTGAAAGGGATGGGGCTAGACTCTTATCACAGTGTAGGTGATCCTAGATCACTTGGAACTGGGACAGCCCTTCAGAGATGGCCCGAACTGGGACAGAGGGCCAGGCCTATTGTCTCCCCTGGCCCATCACTGGGTATGCCCTCTCCTGGGTCAATTCCTAGGGAGAGACTCTGCAGCAGCTCAGGAAATGAGTGCATAGTCTTGATGGAGCCATCTAGTGCCCACAGTACCCCTACATCGCACTGCCTGCCTCTGCATGGTTTCTGAGTGCCTGGACACTAAGGACACACAGAAGGGACACTTGGGGGACAAGGGAAGAAGAGTGGTGTACCAGGCAGAGGGGACAGCCTGACTCATAGGAGGTGGGAGTGGCATGGTCTGTGTCATTCTGCCAGGCAGCAGCTCCACAGCATGCACCGTCAGTTGCTTCGTTTTAACTCACAGTGGGAGCTGCTAGCACACTTCCTAAGTGTGCACCCACCTGGATTAAGTCCTCCACTCCTCAACAGAAGTTCTACATTTTAGGTGGGCATATTGGCACCCAGTTGAAGACTCACTTTCCCAGCATCCTGTGCACTTGTGTGGTCAGGTGGGGGTGCTCCACTGGCATGGATTTTGTGTGTGGGTTCAGAGCATCTGATCCACCCCCAGGAGTCTCTGCAGTCAATGTACTGGACTAACCGGCCTACCGTATAGCATGGGAGGAGTTGGTAGTGAGCCCAGAGTGGTGGGCCCCTCCAGTTCTCAGGGTGTCACTTGCAGGAGGCGGTATACATCCCAAATGTGCCTTGCATCCTCCAAGTGAAAGACAGGTGTGGGGGCTAGGGAGAGGAAGTAGGAGTGGCAAACTCACCACCCCTCAGGTGCACTAGTGCTTCCTGTTCTCACAATTCTAGGCTCTTCTGGAGGACTTAGTTCCCAGAACAGGATTCTAGAAGGACATCAGGAAGAATCCATTAACTTTCAAGTTATCAAATGCTGCTGGCGTATGTTAGGCACCTTGTATCATGAGACCAGGCCAGGAAAGAAGTTGGCTCCTGACCTTTGGGATGTGGTAGGATGCTGTTGCATAATGGGGATGGGGAAGAACAAGTCAGGCACCTCTGTGAACACAGGTGTCTCTTCATGCTCTCCTGCCCAACTTGATGGGAGGTGGACAAGTCTGTAACCACATCGGAGGACACCGAGTGACCAGAGGTTCTGAAGGCCCCAGGATGGGGATCTGGGTCACTCTAGCAGGTAAGCCATGAAGAAAAGCAGAGGTGCTAGCTTGAGGGAAGGGACTACTGGGATGATAAAATACTGGAGGGAGGCAGGAGGCTTTGCTGGAGGCAAAGTGGACCAACCAGAATCCGAGAGATGCTCTTCTGAGTGAACTTAATCAAGCCAGGGAAGGGTGTGAAGATGCTGTCCAGAACCCCTTTCGGGACCAAAGCTCTCATTCCCCAGGTGTTGGGACTATTGGCTGCTGAGGGACCAAGATAAGCCTGTCCTCGGCAACTGTCCTCAGATGGACAGCGCATCTTCTTCCAAGATTGTGGGCCTCACCCTAGGGACAGCTCCCATCCAGTGATCTCTGTAGCAGTGTGAAGGCTCTAATGACTTGTCTCAAAGCGAGCCATCTCTGGTTTCTCTGGTACCTCCTTTGTAGACCGTCATAGTTCAACTTCTGTAAATACCTGTCTCCCCAATTGTTTCCTGTGGAATTCAAGTTTCATCATAAATCTGGCCAGACTATCTTTCTGCTCCCCAGTAGTCCATCTTTTTTTGCGTACATTTTTCTTTATCAATAGTGTTCCTTGCATATTATGCTACCACACCTGTTTAAACACTAGCCTGGTCCCTCGTGGATGTGACTAGTACTCCCTACAAGCTCATTCCTTGAACACTTCTCAGTCCTTGTTGGCTCATTTTTACCCTTTCCCCAAGGTTTTGAAGTAACAGTGCACAGCACAGGAAGGAGCTCAATGAGTACATTTTTAATGTGTTATAAAACATTTGATACACAGAAAAGGTCATACAGAATGTAACAAAAGGGCTGGATGTCTGGCTCCAGTGGTACAGCCAGATGTGAGCAAGAATGTAAAATTCTAAATAAACTCTGCCTTAATAAAACATAGAAGCACAGTCAAAACCTTTGTGATTTCTTGTAGACCATCCTTCTCAACACCCAGTGGTAACCACCCTCCTAAGAAGCAATGGTACAACTGGCATTCTTGTCTTTGTACATCTGGGTAGGTTCTTCTACATATCCAGAGGAAATTACTTGGCCCAAGGGTATCTTTTCTGCTAGAAATTTCTAAATGACCAAATTATTGAATCTATTTCACCCTCCTCTAGCACAGCCTGAGAGTTCTTTCTGTTCACAAATCCACATTCTCATCACTCCTGGCATTGACAGATTTTTCCTTTTTCTTCTTTGCTACTCTGTTCAATGTGAAATAGTTGGTTTTGATTTGCCTAAGTCCTAAGTGGATGTAAGCTCCTTACATCTGCTTCTCAAAAATTATTTGTTGTACTTGTGGTTCCTTGTGAGGGTGAGATGGGAGGGTCACTTGAGCTCAGGAGTTTGAGACCAGCTTGGGAAACAGCCAGGTTGTCTCAAAACAAACAAATAAAATCATTGCACTTGGGCTGGGAAGTTGGCTCAGTGGTAGAGTGCTTGCTTTGTATGCATGAGGTCCTGGGTTTGATTCCTCAGCACCATATAAGCAGAAAAAAGTCAGAAGTGGTGTTGTGGCAAGTGGTAGGGAGATAGCTTTGAGCTGAAGAGCTGAGGGACAGTGCCCAGGGCGAGATCAGCCCCCACAACCGACAAAAAAACAAAACAAAAAAAATCATTGCACAGATGAAGTTTGCACTCATTTATTGTCTCCATTCTGTTTGATTCCTGCACAGGGTCTATTCCTAGGCTAGTCATCTATATTCCTTTGGATTTCCAACCTGGCTTTCCACCAGATTCTCTTTATGCCTGGTCCACTGCTGGAGATTATTTTGGCTTTGTCTCTGTAACTGTTTCTGGTGACACCGACCTGCTCCTGATTACCAATTTTCTGACCTTTCCCTGGCTTCTCACCTAACTCCCATTCCTCTTGGATGATGTGTTGTCTACTCTGGTGCTTGCCTGATATCCAACATCTCAGATCCCAAACCTAATCATAAACAGGCTGCAAACACGGTAAAGGCCTCATTTTCAGGTTTTCACTCATGGTACCAACAATCTTCGCTTAGCCAGTCTTACAGCCTTCAAATCCAACCATCTCAGCTTCACTCCCCTCCTGGAGAGAGCAGGGAGGAAAGCAGCAGCAGACTCTAAGTCGGCAAGTAAGCAGTTACTAAAGGGCATCTTTCACAGATTTCCTTCCTTTTGGGTTGTTGTTGTAGTCCTGCTGTCCTAGCACCTGTCCCCACTCAGATTCTTGCAACAAACCAGATTGAGCCGACGAGACTCTACATGGTGTCCAGTAATACTTGAAGGCAATCCCTGAGAGTATCAGGAGCCCACCTCTGGTGAGGTCTCAGGGCTGCAGTCAAGGAGAAATGCTTGGGCCTTCCTGAATTCTTCTAGGAGAGGATTCTTCAGGTCAATATTCCTTTTCTTTCTTTGTCCTTTTATAATACTAGGAATCAATCCCCGACCTTCTTGCTTGTGAGGCAAGCACTCTACCACTGAGACACCCCCCCCCCCCCCAGCTCATTTTCATTTTTTAAAAAATTCATCTGAGATAGTTCTTGCTGTGCAGACCAGGCTGGCCTCAAACTTGTTTTTTAAAACTGATCCGGGCTTGTGTGCTGTCCCTGAGCTGCGCTTCAAGGCTAGTGCTCTACCACTTGAGCACAGGGCCACTTCAATTTTTTTTCTGAGTAATTTATTGTAGGTAAGAGCCCCAGCTGGCTTTGAACCACGATCCTCTCAGATCTCAACCTCCTGAGCAGCTAGGATTACAGGTGTGAGCAACTGGCACCCAGCTTTGGCCTCAAACTCTTGATCCTCCTGCCTTAGTCTGGTATAAGAGGCATGGGCCCATCGTATCTGGCTCTGTCCAGAAAGAGTCCTTACAGATCTGTTTTATTAGATTTCTGGAAATCCACTGAGGTCATGTACAGCACGTGAAGCTATGTAGCAAAGCTGTCCTGGGGACATAGAGGTTGTGTTTGGAAGAGATTCCCAGGCACCCACTGAGAATGTCCCTGGAGATTCCTGTGAGTTCCTATGGCTGTGGCAAAAAGAATCCCTGGAGAGTTCCTGCAGCTGCCATCTAGGCAGCAAACTTCACAATGAGCTTCACGTGTGAGGTGTTGAGGCCCCTCACCATGGACAAGATTAGATTAAAACACAGGCCGCACCTGGTCGTATTTTACAAACCAAGAGTGAGGCAGATGTCGCAGGTGGAGAAGCAGCTGTGGAAGCTCTTGCTCTTGGGAGAACTGGTACCAAATGCAGGTATGGGAGCTCAGTGCCTCACAACGATGATGCAGGCAATGCATACTGACCCTTAGTGAGAATCCTGGCAAGCAGCAAGTGCTAAATCAATTTAACTTACGAGTAGATGAACAAGGGCAGGAGTCTTAATCGGAGATGTAATCAGTGTGGTGCTTGGTAGAACGCAGAGCTTGTTGCAATCAAAAGAATATAACCACACGCTTGTTTTAAGACAGAACCCAAGGAGCTGTTGCCGTGGTTACAGGAAAGCCTGTCCTGGGCTTGAACTCAGGGCCTGGGCGCTGTCCCTGAGCTACTGCTCAAGGCCAGCGCTCTACCACCTGAGCCACAGCACCACTTTTGGCTTTTTCTGTGTATGTGGTGCTGAGGAATCGAACCCAGGGCTTCACTCACGCTAGGCACTAAGCCACGTTCCCCGCCCCAGGAGAGCAGTCTCTGACATAGGCTACAGACACCCACCTATCCCAACGTCTCGCAGCGCGCCATGCCCTGCGTGTGCAGCCGCCCGCGGAAGCCGGCCGCCGGGCCCGCCACCTCCCGGGCCCGCCACCTCCCCGCCGGGCCCCGTCACCTCGGGCCCCTTCACCTCCCGGGCCCCTTCACCTCCCGGGCCCGCCACCTCCCGGCCCGTCACCTCCCGGCCCGTCACCTCCCGGGCCCGTCACCTCCCGGGCCCCGCCATATCCCGGGTCACCTCCCGGGCCCAGCACCTCCCGGGCCCCTCACCTCCCGGGCCCGCCACCTCCCGGGCCCGTCACCTCCCGGCCCCGTCACCTCCCGGCCCCGTCACCTCCCGGCCTGTCACCTCCCGGGCCCGCCACCTCCCGGGCCCGTCACCTCCCGGCCCGTCACCTCCCGGGCCCCGCCACATCCCGGGTCACCTCCCGGGCCCGCCACCTCCCGGCCGGTCACCTCCCGGGCCCCTCACCTCCCGGGCCCGCCACCTCCCGGGCCCCTCACCTCCCGCCCGTCACCTCCCGGCCCCGTCACCTCCCGGCCTGTCACCTCCCGGGTCACCTCCCGGCCCGTCACCTCCCGGGTCACCTCCCGGCCCGTCACCTCCCGGGCCCCGCCACCTCCCGGGCCCCTCACCTCCCGGCCCGTCACCTCCCGGGCCCCGCCACATCTCGGGTCACCTCCCGGGCCCGCCACCTCCCGGGCCCCTCACCTCCCGGCCGTCACCTCCCGGCCGTCACCTCCCGGCCCCGTCACCTCCCGGCCCGTCACCTCCCGGGCCCCTCACCTCCCGGGCCCCTCACCTCCCGGCCCGTCACCTCCCGGGTCACCTCCCGGGCCCCTCACCTCCCGGGCCCGTCACCTCCCGGGCCCCGTCACCTCCAGGGCCCCGTCACCTCCCGGGCCCCTCACCTCCCGGCCCGTCACCTCCCGGGTCATCTCCCGGCCCGTCACCTCCCGGCCCGTCACCTCCCGGGCCCCGTCACCTCGCGGGCCCGTCACCTCCCGGCCCGTCACCTCCCGGCCCGTCACCTCGCGGGCCCGTCACCTCCCGGCCCCGTCACCTCCCGGCCCGTCACCTCCCGGCCCGTCACCTCCCGGGCCCCGTCACCTCGCGGGCCCGTCACCTCCCGGCCCGTCACCTCCCGGGCCGTCACCTCCCGGGCCCGTCACCTCCCGGCCCGTCACCTCCCGGGCCCCGTCACCTCCCGGCCCGTCACCTCCCGGCCCGTCACCTCCCGGGCCCCGTCACCTCGCGGGCCCGTCACCTCCCGGCCCGTCACATCCCGGCCCGTCACCTCCCGGCCCGTCACCTCCCGGGCCCCGTCACCTCGCGGGCCCGTCACCTCCCGGCCCGTCACCTCCCGGGCCGTCACCTCCCGGGCCCGTCACCTCCCGGCCCGTCACCTCCCGGGCCCCGTCACCTCCCGGCCCGTCACCTCCCGGCCCGTCACCTCCCGGGCCCCGTCACCTCGCGGGCCCGTCACCTCCCGGCCCGTCACATCCCGGCCCGTCACCTCGCGGCCCGTCACCTCCCGGGCCCTGCCACCTCCCGGGCCCCTCACCTCCCGGGCCCGCCACCTCCCGGCCTGTCACCTCCCGGGCCCGTCACCTCCCGGGTCACCTCCCGGGCCCGTCACCTCGCGGGCCGTCACCTCCCGGGCCCGTCACCTCCCGGGCCCGTCACCTCGCGGGCCGTCACCTCCCGGGCCCGTCACCTCCCGGCCCCGTCACCTCCCGGGCCCGTCACCTCCCGGCCCGTCACCTCCCGGGCCCCGTCACCTCCCGGCCCCGTCACCTCCCGGGCCCGTCACCTCCCGGCCCGTCACCTCCCGGGCCCCTCACCTCCCGGCCCGTCACCTCCCGGGTCACCTCCCGGGCCCCTCACCTCCCGGGCCCGTCACCTCCCGGGCCCCGTCACCTCCCGGGTCATCTCCCGGCCCGTCACCTCCCGGCCCGTCACCTCCCGGGCCCCGTCACCTCCCGGGTCATCTCCCGGCCCGTCACCTCCCGGCCCGTCACCTCCCGGGCCCCGTCACCTCGCGGGCCCGTCACCTCCCGGCCCGTCACCTCCCGGCCCGTCACCTCCCGGGCCGTCACCTCCCGGGCCCCGTCACCTCCCGGCCCGTCACCTCCCGGGCCCGCCACCTCCCGGGCCCGTCACCTCCCGGGTCATCTCCCGGCCCGTCACCTCCCGGGCCGTCACCTCCCGGGCCGTCACCTCCCGGCCCGTCACCTCCCGGCCCGTCACCTCCCGGGCCCCGTCACCTCCCGGGCCGTCACCTCCCGGGCCCCGTCACCTCCCGGGCCGTCACCTCCCGGGCCCCGTCACCTCCCGGCCCGTCACCTCGCGGGCCCCTCACCTCCCGGGCCGTCACCTCCCGGGCCCCTCACCTCCCGGCCCGTCACCTCGCGGGCCCCGTCACCTCCCGGGCCGTCACCTCCCGGGCCCCTCACCTCCCGGGCCGCCGGGCCGTGCGGTCGGAGCGCGCGCCGTCCCCCCCGGCCGCCCCTCGCCTCTCGGCGTCGTGGGTCTCCCAGCCTCCGTCCTCGCGGTCCCCCTCGCGGCGCTCGGGCCCAGCTCCGGCCGGGCCCGTGAACACCCGGCGCCCGGCTCCGCCTCCTCCGCGCGGCACCTGAGGCGCCCGTCGCGCGTCGCTCGGGCCGGGGCGGGACTTCCGGGATCACGGAGGTACAACTTCCGGAGAGAGGCGGAAGCGCTTCTGGGTTCTCGGCTCCGGAGACCCGGGGCCGAGTCGGGCCACTGGGGAGGGCCGCGGGGGGCAGGCCGGCCGCACTTGGGGGTGTCGGGTCGCGGGTCTGAGGGATGAGGAGGGGCCATGGCCAGCGACGGGGCCAGGAAGCAGTTCTGGAAGCGCAGCACCAGCAAAGTCCCGGGCAGGTGGGTGTGACGGGGAGGACCGGGTGGGGTCAGGGGTCAGAGGTCAGGTAGCCGCGGTGGCCTGCTGGACGTGGGTTGGGTCGGGGTCTGGGGCGGGGAGGGGGCTGGTCCTGAGGAGGGAGTCTGGGTCCCGGGCCGTGTGAGGGGCGCAGGGGCCGGCCTGGGAGGTGGCAGGGGCCGGGGCGGGGGGGGGGGGGGGGGGGGGGGGAGAAGGGGGGAGGCCGGAGGGGGAGAGGGGGGACGGGGGAGGAGGGGGGACGGGGGAGGAGGGGGACGGGGAGGAGGGGGACGGGGAGGAGGGGGGACGGGGGACGGGGAGGAGGGGGACGGGGAGGAGGGGGGACGGGGAGGAGGGGGACGGGGAGGAGGGGGGACGGGGGACGGGGAGGAGGGGGACGGGGAGGAGGGGGGACGGGGAGGAGGGGGGACGGGGAGGAGGGGGGACGGGGTCGGGGAGGAGGGGGACGGGGAGGAGGGGGGACGGGGGGGACGGGGGAGGAGGGGGGACGGGGGACGGGGAGGAGGGGGGACGGGGGGGACGGGGGAGGAGGGGGGACGGGGGGACGGGGAGGAGGGGGGACGGGGAGGAGGGGGGACGGGGGGGACGGGGGAGGAGGGGGGACGGGGGAGGAGGGGGGACGGGGGACGGGGGAGGAGGGGGGACGGGGGGAGGAGGGGGGACGGGGAGGAGGGCCAGGCGCTGTCACAAGTTTCTCTGGGCCTTGGAACTCCCTGGCTCCCTGGGGAAGCGGGAAGGAACTTCTCTGGGCAGCTTGGTGGAGTCAGGAAATGACCAGGCCAGGCTGCCTGCTGGGGACCCACGGCAGGTCACTTTCTGCAGGGTGTTGGTGTTTTGACCCACTTGGTTTGCCTCCTCGGCTCTCTTGTGAGCTGCTGCTTTTGCCTTGAGTTTGAAAGCGGGCTGGAAGTGTCCAGTGAGTTTCCATGTTTCCACCCGCTGATCCCCTGCCTCCCCCCCCCCCCCCATCAACTCCTCTTGTGCCAACAGCTGGCAGCAGTTAAAAAAAAAACAAACCTCAAACCTCACAAAAATTAAATAGCTGGTGCATTCTGGAAGTTCACAGCTCTAGTGGCCCTCTCTGACTGGTGTGGCCCTAAGTCCCACCGGGCCCTAGGGTAAGAGAACTTTTCCTAGGGAGGAAAAGTTAGTCACTGATGAGTGTTGAATTGTGATATTAAAGTGACTTAAATAGTACCATTCATAAACACATAAGTGGTTTGTGTTCTGTGTTTCATAATAGACAGTATTGTGTGGTGTTAGGACCATAAACTTTGAATTTCATTGCATCCAGTTGGAAAAATTGACTTGTCAGAATGATTGGGACTTAGTAAGACTTATCCATTGCTCAGACCCAGTGAGTTAGAAGATTATGGGGGCCACCAAAAACGGCCAGAGTCCCTATTTTACTCCACCAGGATTGGGCTTGATTAGCTATAAGAGTGTTCATCAAAGCCTAACATGTTCAGATTGTGAAGATACTGAAATGGAAGATTCTGATTAGGAGTCCTAGTTCTGACAGGGACAGATGCTGCAGAACATAGTGCTTAGGTAAAAGGAGCCACTTGGCCACATGACTTTCATGTGTTGATTTCAGGTCTTGAGACCTTTTGTTCCTCTTCAGTCTAGACTGTAATTCATCCTTAACAATGAGCTTAGATGTAACATAGGATAGCCGTTTTGTGGAGTTGTTGGATTGAAGACTGTGACTATTCATAGTCTTTTTCCCCTCTTTTGAGAACAAGGTCTCCATATGAGTAGCTGGCTGGCATCATATGTAAGCCTAGTGTCCCTTGCACTTGCTGTGTTACCTAGGCTAGCCTTGAATTCTGCCTCAGCCTCCTGGGTGCTAGGATTTGAGCTCTCACTACTCCTGGCATGGTTTGAAAAGTGAACTCCTTAAAGTCATGTCTATCTGGCCCTATGAATGGGACCTTATTTGGAAATAGGGTCTTTGTAGGAGCAGTCAAGTTCAAATGAGGTCGTACTGGTTTTGCAGGGGTCCAAGCATATGACTGTGTCCTCATAAGAACAGGAAAATTGATATCAGAGAGACAGACACAGAGAAGATGGCCATGTAAAGATGGAAGCAGAGGTAAAGAGGTCTTTACAAGCCGAGGAAAGCCAGGGGTTGCTGGCAACCACCAGAAGTTAGAGGTGGCAGGAAGGGATCCTCTCCCAAAGACTTCACAGAGAGCATGTCCCTGCCAGCACCTTGCTGTCACAGTTGTAGAACCGAGAGAGTAAATTTCTGTTGTTCTGAGCCACACTAGTCTTGGTTTGTTGTGGAAGCCAGAGGAAATGAATGTAGTCTCTTGTGGGAAGCCTGTGTTACCAAAAGTAGACTTTCCCCCTTGGGTTTGAAGACTGCGAGGTGTCGTAGGCACTTCTGTGAGCCACTTCTGGTGTTGCACTTGCAGAGTTGCAGTACAGACTGGAGACGTGCTGGGGCTGCCACTGCAGAGGGGAGGGCAGAAGGGGTGGTTGGGCCTGTGCAGCCCCGTGTTGCCCTTCGCTCCTGTGCCCTCACTTGGGGCAGGCTGCTGTTTCAGTGTCAGGCTGCAATAGCAAAGGTGCTGGCCTTTTCCTTCTTGTGGCATCCTCCTGGTCCTCATTCCCATGTCCTGGGTCATCACCTGCATAGTTGCAGTGCCCGCAGAGCTCCTGCCCAGGCTCCCGTGGCTCTGCCTGGTCTTTTCAGTGGTTTCCATGATTGTTTTTATTGAACACAGACCTCATCCAGGGTAATCAGGCGGGAGAGGACGTACCTCAGAGTACTAGACTGCTAAGGGAGATTCCGTGATAGTGTGGCCAACACTCATTCAGCGCTCTGTGTAGACCAGGCCTCAGTCTCGGGGCTCCACAAGTGTCATGGGGCCTTTTCATGTGCAAAACACAGGCTTTATCTTCCCCGGAGGACTCACTGAGACAGGCCTGGTTTGAAGCCTCTTGGTTGTTTCTGAAATACAAACTACGCATAGGCACTTACGGGTATCGTCTCAGGTCCTTTATGACTTGACCACTGCTCAGTCATAAGCCATATTCCTCTCTCTCCTTTCTTTGACCTTTGCTCACCAACTGCTGATAGGCTTAGCTTTCTAGGTTCCTCCATGCTGTACTGTTGCACTTTGATGTTCTTGTAGCTGATGAGAATGTTCCATGCCCCCTTTGCTTACCTTGCTTGCTTTTTCCATTTTACCTGAAGCCTGCCTCCTTGTGAAGCCTTGCCAGTTTATGCGCAGCTCTAACTTCAGTACCTTCTATGTGCCGCTTCGCTGTCTGACAGGGCTACTAGTGAGAACTGGTGGTGGAGCCTAACTGCCTGGAGAGATTGGGTGATTTTAGCAAGGTTATGCTTGAGAGGTTGTCTTCCTGGTCTTTGTGTGTTTGGCTGAGGCTTTCTTAGAAATTCCTCTCCTGGATGAACTGGCCAGTGTGATAGGGTGGAAAGACCTCTGACTAGCTATTAGGTGGATTTTTTTTGCCAGTCCTGGGGTTTGAACTCAGGGCCTGTGTACTGTTCCTGAGCTTCTTTTGCTCAAGGCTAGAACTCTACCACGTGAGCCACAGCACCACTACCAGCTTTTTCTGTGTATGTGCTACTGAGGAATCGAGCCCAAGGCTTCACGCATGCAAGGCAAATGCTCTACCACTAAGCCACATCTCTAGTCCTATTAGGTGGATTTTAGCCTTCGGTTACCTGTTTGATGTTCACCAAGTCCTGGTGCCCTGGTGCCATTGATTTGTGCACCTGTGACATGAGGGGCTGCATTTGACCTAAGTAGCTGTAGTGACCTAAGTAGCTGTAGTGACCAAGGAAGGTTCTTTTGATGTAGCACAGTTCTCTCTGATGAGATGAGGAGCGGCCTTCTGGACCTGTTGGGAGTTTGATCATTCATTCATTCATTCAGTAACTGTTCAGTTAACCCATACCCTGTGTCAGGACCCACCTGCTCCAGAAGTGAAGGTTATATCAGTCAGCAAAACAGACTAAGCTCTGTCCTCTCAGGGAGCTTGGGATAGAACGGGAGAGCAGAGAATGAGTACTTGTGTTAATAGAAGTAGCTGTTGGAATGTGGCAATACCACCAAAACACAGTGTGGAGCCAGGTGTCAGTGCTCACACCTGCAATCCTAGCTACTCTGGAGGCTGAGATCTGTGGATTGTGGTTTGAATCCAGCTGGAGAAGACTCTTCTTTCCAGTGGCCACCAAAAAAGCTGGAAGCAGAGGTGTGGCTCAAGTGGCAGAGCACTAACCTTAAGTGAAAAAGCCAAGGGAGAGCCCCCTGGTCCTGGGTTCAGGCCTCTACGGGGACAAAATGCCATCATGAAGGAACAGGTAGCTCTGAGGCGGGGACAGCAGGACTGTCGCGGTGAAGAAGTGGCCGGAGAGCGGCATGCCATGTAAGTAAAGGTGGGGAGGGAAAGTCCTTTACAGCACTGGAAGAAGAGCAGCTAGGCCGAGGGACCAGCGAGGGAGGCTGCTGTGTTTGAGGAGAGGAACAAGGGGCCAGGGTGGCTGAGGGTGCTGTGAAGTGTGGATTGTATTGTATTCTGCGCAGACCGGAGCCTATGATGGGCACTGTTCACCTTTGGTTGATCAGAGTTACTTTGGCAGTGGTATTGAGAGACGCTGGAAGGCAGTGAGAGAAGGGAGACTTG